CTAGATAACACGAGACCACCAGGCTAGCTAGCCAGCTAGATAACACGTGACCTCCAGGCTAGCGAGCCAGCTAGATAACACGTGACCTCCAGGCTAGCGAGCCAGCTAGATAACACGTGACCTCCAGGCTAGCGAGCCAGCTAGATAAGAAATAAGACAGATAACTTTTAGAGGTGTTCCTATAGAACAGCAAATCAAATATAATATTTCATATTTTATCTGTTTCAGGCGATTATGTTCAATATCAACAAATGTGTGCCGATAACACGAATTGTAAACAATGCAGTAGACGTCATCCAAGCTGTGTAAGTAAACCCAATGGTTTCCATCAAGTGCCGAGTTCCTATTCATATTTTATGTTCTGTTTAAAGGAGCGAACATTGCTGATCAAGAAATGTCCGCAAAATAAAGTGTTTTCCAAGACAAGAGTTGGCTGTGTGTGAAAATAAAACTATTATCTCGGTGTTGGAATTATAGTATTCAAGGTTCCTGATATTGTGGTAGGATGAATGGACCTTGATTTTATCTATCTTGTTATGATGTATTATAGTTGTACATTTTGTTAAAAATCTGGGGTTTTATTTTTTCATTTAAAAAAATATAAAAATATCTAATGTCGTTGTTTTATGTATTTTCCTTGGAGTTGATGGTAAATGAACGTACGTGGTCATTGGTGGTCGTGGTGGCTCAGTGAGTAAGACGCTAATGTGGGAGGAGAGAGAGAGAGAGAGAGAGAGAGAGATTTAACCTCCACTCGACCCAAACTGGGTCATTTCGGTTATTTCATTAATTCGCTTGCGCGTAGGGGTCTTTATCAGTGGTTGGGAAACCGGAGTACCCGGAGAAAACCCACGAGGTTGAACAGGCGACCCTACTCCTTGTCACGCACAAGCGAGAATTCGAAACCACGCCAGTTGACTCAATGACAGACTTTATGATGCAACGAGCACGCGTTAACCATTCGGCCACCTCGCTACCCTGGAGGTTCCGTGGCCAAGAAAATGCATCGGAATATTCCGGCGTGGTTCTCCCTTGTCAATGGTGTAGGACGGAGGACCTAACAAGAGACAACTTATACGATAGTCGTTCGGATGGGACGGAAACCAGAGGTCCCGTGTACACAGTGGCATGCACGTAAAAGATTAGTACAGCTGCCCGGGCCAAATTTCCCTCATAGTACACCGTATGCCCGTCTTCATTATCCCAGTCGGAGCAGAACATTTCATAGTCCCATTATACTTTGCCACAAAAAAGACTTGCGCAGCGACATTTTGTCCCTCATTATTATATGAAAGGCGCTAAATCGCTAAAAATGGTCGCAACACATATAATAATGTAATATGAATGTATTTTAACTTATTTACATTCAATTGTTTCTGTATTTATTGAATGGGAGTCTCTGGCGTCTGGTTATTTCAGCCCACACCGGTAGTATTCTCCTATGGGGTATGTTTAGCCCCGTTCATCGAGTCGCTTCATTACAAATTTTGATTTTAAAACAATCAATGAATGAATGCAATGGGGTTTATTAACACCATACAAAACGAGATTACTAAGATGGGTATATGATGTAATTGTTCATTAGGTGAATTGACTAGGTTCAGTTATGAGCATATTCAGCTTAGACTAATCATTGTTCAAGACTTTTGGACACAACAACTACGCTTTTAATTGAGGTAGAAAGTTCAAATTTGGCACAAGTTAGGTGGATATCTTGACTGAGTTCGATGATGAGTATTTTCTGCTTAGGCTAAACAGCTATCCATCTGCATGACAGTCCGTCACCAGGGGCGTGGTGACCCATGATTTTACACGAGGAATAAGATCCCGTCCGGGGCCCCCAAAAAACAATATTTATATGTTTGTGCGGGGGAAGGGTGGGGTGGTAGTCCCTACCAATGCCACCGGTTAATATTGGGCTGTGTAGAACATGCTAAAGAGTTGATTTGTAACGGTATATGTTCGAAACTGGTTAAGCATTATGATTATAATGTTGAAAACCGCATTGAAACCGCGAGATTTTTTGCCATTTGCGAGGGGGCGCAGAAATTCAAGTGGGGCGCAAAAACTCAAAACCATGACGCAAAGCTCGTCATTGCTTCCCTCTCAATTAACCCCTGTCCGTCACACATTTTGGAAAACGATAGTTAAGGTAATATGTTTAAATTTGGAGCATATAATGTTCGTTATGTGAATGTCTTGACGGAAATTTATCATTAGCATGTTTTGCTTAGGCAATTTATTTGACCGAGACTTTAGAACACACGAATGCTGCTGCTGCTAATTAAGAGGGGTGGGGTGGTCACGTGGTTTACCGCGTGCACGTCAGATCATAAGGCCTGTCGTTGAGTTGAGCCAAGGTGGCTGGGTGAGTAAGACGCTGGCTCGTTGGCCTGGAGGTCGGGTGTTCGATCCCTGCATTCGCCGTTTTTAATACCTTAAATCACTGTCCAAAGTTTTAGGGAAGACCCCAGATTAAACGAAGAGCTGTCATGTTGCTGTACTTGGGATAAATTTGATTGAACAGGAAGAATAGACATACTTCCTCAAAAGCTCAAGTGTCAGAAGCCAATCCAGCAATGGCCGGAGGGGGATTTCTCGGGCCATTGCTTCATGAATATGCTGGGATACTCACGCCAACACCTCGCCGTAATAGACCCTTTCAATAGCTAATCCCCCACATCAACCAGAACGCGGGTTATATAATAGTGTAGTAAAAACGACAATTTGAACGTAATTTTAAACTATAAAAAACGAAACGGAATAGTCAGATCGATTTCTACCCAACAACCCAAATATTAAAATAAAATTAACATGTTAGTCCCGGAATGACCCAGATTGTGTTGATTGGATGTTATACCCCAGTTCTCATTAGTCGAAGGGGAGCATGGTTTTATTAAATCAATAGGCTACCATGACTAATTTAGATACTGGGCATATTGTAACTTATGTTGTAAGGTTACTAAACAATTGCTAGATACAAGATTATATAACAATGGTACACTACAATTAGTCATATTATACTTGTTGAATATTAATTAATCCTCGTTGAATATTATGGTTGACCATTATAAATGATTTATTTTTAAGGAAAGAATGTAGACAGAGGGAGAGATGAAATGAAATGGGGTTTACTGTTTTGCTCCGAACTGGGCTAATGAAGACGGGCATACGCCTTACAATGTGCTATGAGGGAAATTTTGCCCGGACAACAGCACTACGGCCTACTCTTATATCGAATTCCAACTGTCAAGGGATATTTTACGTGCACGCCAATGTGTACACGGGACCTCGGGTTTTCGTCTCATCCGAATTACTAGACAACTGTCCTTGTCAGGCCCTCCGTCCTGCACCACTGACAAGGGGGAACCACGCCGGAAAATCTGGATGAACTTTCTCAGCCAATGCAGGAATCGATGCCGACCTCCAGGCTAGCGAGCCAGCGTCTTACCCACTTAGCCACCGTGATACCGAGAGAGAGAGAGAGAGAGGGAGAGGGAGAGAGGGGGAGGGGGTAACTACGTCCACTTCGACACAAACTAGGTTATTCCAGGCTGTGGATCAATTAATTAGCATGGTTGGGGCTTTTATCATACCGTAACTAATATGGGGTTTACGGTCCACTCAACAAAAACTAGGTCATTTCGGGACTAACAGGGTCCAGAAACAGAACGCAGACAGACAGTCGTGTGAAGAAAGCGGAACGAGGAGATAAGTTCCCATAGATCAGAACGACAGACATCCGAAGGGCGACAGGCACAGTGGACGCTTACGGCTAGCCCCCGGATCCATTCACTTTTTGTTGAATTGTCTTTATGTTTGTGTTTTCCTGAGTATGATGTCCTGTCACTGTATTTGTTTTTGTGTAAAATTTGTGTGGTGCAGTCCCCCTGCACTTACTAATAGGAACAGGTGTGATTAGGACGCTGATCATTATGACTACAACCTAATATTAAAGGGACAATAACACTCTTGCTGGCTTGACAGCTCCAGAAAATAAAAAATAGCCTTATTCTAAGTACTAGATGTGTTAGTGTCTTACCTGTTGTGTATATTATCCATTAAATCCTATTTATCTTGTCCAGAGGGTTCAAAAATATTTTTAAATCCAAGTCACATTTGAAAAGTTTTACGTCAGGCTTTTCATAACATTTAGTTGAATTTTTCCAATTTTTTAAATTAGGTGTGTTAAGATGAAATTTGTATGATCAATTAATTGGAATATTGTAAAATAGTACAATTTGTTGACCAGAATAAAGATTGGGACATATTATTCAGTTACAACAAGAGTGGTATTGAGCCTTTAAGATGTTATATGTACCTGTTGTAGGCATATAGCCTACTAGATGTATGAGTTAGGATGATTGTTCCTGTACTGTTAGTTATATTAATTATGCCTACAAACCACAGTCAGCTTTATTATTTATAAAAAAATAAATGTGCAAGAAATTAATGGGTATCAACTATTTATTTTAGGTTTTAGGCAGAGGATACCAGCTTCATCGTTGGCTTATTTTAAATCCAAAGTTTTGCATAAAACAATAGATCTAGTGCATCATCTAGTCTTTCGGATGGGGCAAAAAAAGGATATCGTGTAAAATCGACGTGCACCGTATACTTAAAAGAATCCTTAACAGATGAAGAGTGGGCTGTAACGTCGCTGACCCGTCAAAATGGCCCCCCCGTGGTATATGCCCGTATTTTTTTTTTTTTTAGCCCCGTCATGCGGAAACGAAATGAGCATAGATTGACTCCATTCACTTCATTCAATCATTGGCCATGGGAGGCAAATCCATTTTCTGCAAAAGAAAATTTGTGGTGCCTGAAAAAAGATACAAGAATTTTTCATGGCACATAATAAAGAATAATAGTAGCCATGTAGATCGAATAATGTTCCTGAAAACAGGAATAGATTGCTTTAAAAAGAAAAAAAAATACCTTGCGTTCCATGTTGAAACACCCAATTCCTGAATTTTAATAAAGCAACCTTGACCTTTGCAGACACCTGTTTCCGGTTTTATTAAAGTTGTAAGAAATTTAAAGATTTCATCAATATCACCTTGTTTATTATTATTGTAAGGTTTTTTTTTTATAGAAAGACTTGTACACGTATTTTACGAAACTCCAGACGAAGGTCAGTAACACTCAGATATTTATTCATAACCACTGAAACCCATACAATAGATAGACAGACACGGAGTCACAGTACTGACAGTACATTCTCGAATCACATACAAAAAAAAAAATACATTTGTACGGTATCACGTCATTTGGGACTCACGTCATTTGGGACTCAACATAAACGACATTTGGGACTCAGTTGACGACGTTTGGGACTTGATTGGCGTCAATTGGGACTCAACACAAACGACATTTGGGACTCAATATAAACGACAGTTGGGACTATTTATTTATGAGATATATAGTAACAGCTGTCTTAGTTGTCTTTCGTTTTATTTAGTTGATCCGCGATTGTTGAGACCGCGATTAACACTGCTAGTTCTCCTTTGTTTTGTTTTATCTGCGAGTATAAAACTTGACAATAATATATTGTTGAAAATTTGTGTTTTTCTTTTATCAAATAGTAAACGAGCTTGATTGACCGACCACTGCTAATGTTTTTTCGTGAAACGGTATAACTGCAATCAACACACGGCCGCCATTCTAGATGATTGACAAGTCACGTTTTTCCTCATCCACCAAAGAACCGTTAGGTTTCTTTGAACATACTGTAATAACACTGGGATTATCAGTTAATCAGCTTTAATTATCCCGCTTTGATCGTTGCCATTTCTTATATTTTCCACAAAAAAACTTTGCCTTGTACGCACTAATTTATCAATTGGTATTGCCATCTACGACAAGCATGTCAACGTACAGCTCACGGATTATCGTTAACAATTTCTAGGGGCTTGTAAAAAAAGATTGCATGTCGTGTAAATATTTATTTTGTTTTTTGTATAGGTCATTTTCAAATAAATTCATCAGCATATTATTCGTTTTAAATAAATATATAACTTTTATGAGAAACGATGATTATCAAAGAACCGTAAGTGCAACTAATGTTTTATCGTTTGGTTGAGCCTTTTACTAACCACGTGTTTCATGTTAATAAATATTTTCTTTCGTGTTTTGAATTGGCCTATTTCTAATAAATTATCCCGAGTCCCAAACGTCGTTAACCCGAGTCCCAAACGACGTATACCAAAGTCCCAAACGTTGTATAAAGATAAGGATATAATGTCATATTCTGGCGAATTCCTATCAGACAATGTGATATGGAAACACTCGGCACGACTGGGGCAAATATTTTCAGTCGCATGTATGGTTCAAAGGAGGAATTGAAACATGTACGCTGTGATAAGTATACGGAGTGCCCAAAACTTAAAAACAATAATATCAATTTTATTAAAACAACAATATCAATTTTATTAAGATAACACATTTTTATAATAAAATCAGAATGGTCTTAGTGGTCTTCAAAGGAAGCAATTGTATTAAAACAAATATATAACTTGTAGTTGGGATGAGTTGTTGTCTTATATCTCGACCTATGTTTTAAAGTTGGGATGAGTTGTCTTATATTGGGATGAAAGAAATGGGGTTTAACGTCCACTCGACACAAACTAGGTCATTACGGGACTAACATATGGTTTAATTTTATTTCAATAATTTGCTTCCGTGTAGGGGTTTTTAGCAGTGGGAGGAAACTGGAGGACCTGGAGTAAACCCACGAGGTTGCACAGGCGACCCTACTCTTTGTCACGTATAACCAGGGATTTGAAACCAGGCCAGTTGACTCAGTGACAGACCTTATGATACAGCATGTACGTGGTAACCATTCGGCCATCCAACCCCCTATGACAGATATGACACCAGTCATTACAAATAGGCCTACACAATTTTATATTGAACTGTTTGTTACAGCCTGTGAAGTGTGAAGTGTAAATATTTAATCCTGTGTATTAACAATGGGTGATCAAGATGCAGATGAAGAATATGAAATTTTAGATCTAACGAAATATGACGAGAAATGGGTGAATAAAGTATTTGGTGATATATCAAAACAGTCTGCAGCCAAACAGTTAGTTGTTGGTACAGGATCTGGATGGTAAGATAAAACAGGACATAAGGCACTTTTAATTCCAATTTAAAATATGGAGTTAGTTCCCTTGGTCTATCAAATCACGACTTTATGAAGATGTTCGATTCACAGTCCAGAACGTCCCGAATTGACAGAATTGCAATCGAGTAACACAGAATTCAGTTTTGTCAGTCCATACAACGGAGGTAGTGTGAGTAGAATCGTGACGTAATTAAACACAACGAATATGTTTCGGAGGCATGGTTGGTTGAGTTATTTACTTATTCCGTCGACGCGTGCGTTGTAGCCCGAAATCCACCTTTTCACTCGATTGTCACTATATTTGTACTTTATGTAAGAGGGTAGCTGGTTGGTTATTTGTATTTTGTATTTCATGTTACAGGGTAGCTGGTTGGTTATTTGTTAAAGTAGGGAAGGTAGCAGCAGCATCTATAGGAATGAGTGTTTTACTGATTCAGGTAGAATTACTATTTTCTGTAGTCGTTTTTCAATGCTGTCAGTCTGAATATGGATTAATTCCTGATTCCAAATCCATCCTGTTTGCTTCCTAAAGATACATGTGAATCTGATAAATAGTGTGAATTTTGCTGTTTTAGAATGGCAGTCATTGTCTTGTAAACTTAAACAACAGAACATAAATCAGAACTGGCCCCGAGTTCACAAAGCATTCTCAGACTTAAGTTAAGAATTTACTCAACATTCAATCACTGTATATAAGAAATATCTTTGATCCAAATACACAAAACTTTGCACATAGTTTCTTATTGATGTATTTGATACATTCAAACAACAAAAGTTTTATAAAGGTCTATATTTTAGTTAAAATAAGGCGAACAATTTTGAGTAAATTCTTAACTTTAAGTCTAAGAATGCTTTGTGAACTCGGGGCCTGGATTCATAAAACATTGAATCTGGAAAGTTAATCTAGATTTCGATTCTTGTTAATCAAACTGGCTTTCAGTAGAGAAAAGATGGGCTTCTGATATCCAATATTTATGACAAAATAAACATTTTACGATAATCGTTTCAGCGCCATTTGTAACAAAGGACTCGAAGAACGAGACTAGACATATTCCACAAGTCATATTCTTATCTGGAGAGCATGCACAATAAATACTATCGGTGTAGACTGGAATAACCAGACGCTGAAGATTGAGACTTTCATATTACATAATTATATGCGTTGCGACCCACTCGTGTCAATTTCCTGTTCCCAGATATTAGCGATTTAGCTCCTTTAACGGATGATTAATGAAATTTTAATCCAAAACTTCTTTCTTTGCTTCTCCCCATGAGATATCAAGTCATCATGCCTGATGTATTTTATAGTTTTATTTTTAATGTTTTATTTATAGATAGCACAACATCAGGGTTATATTAAAATCAACTGGAATCAAGTTGAGAGAAGTATGGGTCAGGCAAGAAGAAAGTTAGAAAAAACAGCAAGAAGACATTATCCAGGAATGTTCTCAAATGTGAGTTATAAAGCCTTACATGAATATTTGACGGATAGAAAAAGTAAAAAAATCAAGAGGTGTTCGTTCGTTCCTGGAGTTTTACTTCCACTTCCACCAGAAGTGATATTGTAGACAAGAATTAAGAAGCAGTTGGGAAGACATGATATGGCATACTACTGTAACCATCATTTTTTTTATACTTCTGATGGCCTACACTACATGAAGATCTGACCGGTTGTAGTGGAAGGTCGCGTCAGAGGTCATACAAGCTGCTTTTGACCCTTTGACGTCAGACATTGACATTTCTAATGCTTTACCCACAGTTCCGTACATTGCACGCCAAGAACTCGTTGTAACAGACCGTTTCATTGGCTAATCCCTCACTTCAACCAGAATGCCGGTAGTATAACATCTCTTCCAGATCCTAGTGTAGTAAAGACAAGTAAAATGAAATTTTGAACTATAAAAACGCAACGAAATAGGATCTGTGTTTTAATCGGATTTAAAATAATCATGTGGAGTTTATTGCTTTACACGAGGGTTGTTTGGATCGGGTATGTTCAAAAATCCTTTGACTTTTTTGTGGTGTTGTTTAATCAGATTGAATTTCATGTTTTTGTGGTATTTAATTTTTTCAGGTTCAAGCCTTCTTTAGACAGAATATAATATTAGCAGGTGGATTTGCTGGTGGTTTTTTAATGGGTATAGCCTTTTAATGATCAACTGGATAAAGTAACAAGGCTCTGGTGCTATGGGATTCCGTCAGAAAACAAGAACACTTGCACAACCTCCCATTTTTGGGGGAAGTGCCCTTAGTAAACAATTACTGTTATACTTTCGTACATTAGGTACTTATTGTAATGTGGGTGTGGGGTTCATATCTTCAATATATTTATAGCCCTGATCCTTTGTTTATAAAACTTAAATCTCTTAGAAATGGTTGTTAATGAAGAAAATCAGTTGGTCAATGAGACAACACCATGCTCACTGAGCTACCATTGTCAGTACAATGTATTTTAGATTATCAGTACAATGTATTCTAGATTGTCAGTACATCATATTCTGGATTGTCAGTACAATGTATTTTAGAATGTCAGTACAATGTATTCTAGATTGTCAGTACATCATATTCTAGATTGTCAGTACATCATATTCTAGATTGTCAGTACAATGTATTTTAGATTGTCAGTACAATGTATTCTAGATTGTCAGTACAACGTATACTAGATTTTCAGTACAGTGTATTCTAGATTGTCAGTACAATGTATTCTAGATTGCCAGTACATCGTATTTTAGATTGTAAGTACAATGTATTTTAGGTTGTCAGTACAATGTATTCTAGATTGTCAGTACAATGTACAGTGAGGCCAGATAATATGATTTTCACTTTCTCCAGGTCTTGATCAATAAAAAGCCATTTGAATCACGTGTAAGATGTGTTGTTTAAAATCTCAAAACTTGAATACTTGGAATTAAAAACTTTTGAACAGTACAGCCAAGTACTTGTGGTTATTAAGGAAGTCTTTTTCTGAATAAATAAGCAGGAACATTTTTTTACTTGTGTTCCCAAAGAATATCAAATTAGTTGTGGCCTGAATTGTTTATTCGTTTAAAGATACATTAGTTAAGAGTTTCATAAAGAGTTGGCCATTCTTGCTGTAACAATTCAAAAATAGATGATAAAAAAAGAAAATATTGAAAATTTCAGTCAAATTACTTTATTCTGAACGGAGTTGTAACTGTTGGAAGTTTGGACTAGAAATAGGCATCAACTGTGTCCGCACCGTCTCCGAGAATTGACGATCGTTTGATTGACAGAGGATAACTCCACCTACATATTCTCGATTATCAAGTAATATTCTCAATGGCTATGGTACCCTCGCTTGGCATGCCTTTCATCGGCTGTCTCCTGTAGTGACATCAGTGACTAACGGTAAACATCAGCTTGGTCAGCCATTTAATGATTTAATTATAAAATGGACGACTGCTTGAGTTGATTTTGAGCTTGTTATGTAAATAAAGGTCTAATTTATAATTTCTATAACATCTGAAACCTAAAGAAAGACTTGAAATAGGCAGATTTAGCTCTTAAACATGCATTATACAAGATCTAAATCTGTCTATTGCAGGTCTTTCTTTAGGCCTGAAATGTTATCTAAATTATTAATTAGACATTAATTAACCTATCCAGGCCATAATCAACTCTAGATGGCAGCGCTAGCCTGCGATTTTTAGTGGATTGTAAGCCGATTTACTGCATAACTTTCCTTCTCGATTAAACGATTAAATGGATAATCGAGACTATGCTGTTTATCGTACTGACTTTAGTAATGATGACCGAGGCTTATGGGAATTTCAGTCGCTTAGTTCTCGGTTCATAGTGGATCAATTTGAATGAAATTTTCACCAAATTGCCTTTACATTATCTAGTTTTTAACTGTTATAGTGAGAACTGCCAACTCGTTACCGAATCTCCCATAATGTATCTTTAATTAATGTATCTTTGATGTGTAGGTGGCCATACTGTACGGAAATGAATCTATATGAAATGCCCTACAGTAGATAAATAAGCTATTTTAGGTTATACATATGTAGATATTTGTATATTATTGTAAATAATGTATGTTTTTCTCTGAATTTTATTTCGTTTGTAGATATAGAGATTTATTATTTTCGGCAAGTGTCGATAAAACATGTTATTTTTTTTTTCTATAAAAGATATTTCTGAAATATTTGATATTTGTTCTAAATAAAGCCTCATTAGCCCAGGTTAGGAGCAGAACAGTAGGACGTTAAACTCCATTTCATTTCATTTCATTTCTAATTAAAGCAATGGAACGTTAACCTGAATAGAAGATTAAGAAAGTAGTTAAGTTCAGTAGATCTGATATGTTATTGGTCATAGTACAAGCTGTAGACCAATCTGATTCAAACACAGATCCTATTTCGTTTCATTTTTTATAGTTCAAAACTTCATTTTACTTGTCTTTACTACACTAGGATCTAGAAGAGTTGTTATATTACCTGCGTTCTAGTTGATGTGAGGAATTAGCCAATGAGACGGTCTGTTACGGCGTGTGTAAACTCCTAGACACGTCAACGCTGATTGATTAATCAATGTCTGACATCATAGGGTCAAAAGCTGCTTATATGACCCCTGACACGACTGATCAGATCTTTATGTAGTGTATAAAAAAACGAAACGAAATATTGATTTGTATTTATATCAGATTGTACCTTTCAAGGGATAATCTGTGAAGATTTGGGATGTTGATGTTTATCACTTTTAAATTTTCAACTCGACAGAGTAAGCAGAGATTAGTCTGTTTGCTAAGTTTAGTTTCATTTTTGACTTAAAACTGTCGACGGTTGATGTTTATCACTTTTAAATTTTCAACTCGACAGAGTAAGCAGAGATTAGTCTGTTTGCTAAATTTAGTTTCGTTTTTGACTTACAACTGTCGACGGTTGAAAAATCAGTTGTGTTTGAACATGGACTCAATATACGAAGATAAAAAAATTTATGTTGAAGACTACTCAGTTCACAAAGTTTATCAACAGAACTCATTAAATTCTATCAAATCTTAGGCATTAGCTCTTTTGAGATCTTTGCCATTAGTTAAAAAAATAATTTCGTCGGATTTGTTTAATATAAATTTTATGAGTAATCTAGGACAAATTTGGCTACTCGTGGCTGAGACATTGAAGTTTTAACTAGCAATTTATGAGTTCTATAATTTTTAAATTGTTTTCAAGAAATGTAATGAACACTCGCTCCAAATACCGTACTCCAAGTATGTCAGTAATTGGATTTCCAATAATTGATTATGTCTAATGTTATTTGATATATGATATTTTTCAAAATAAATTATTTATGTTCCTGGTGAAACTTTACTCTGCTTTGTTCTACAACTTTACTTTGCTTTGAAAGTTATTATCAGGCCCGTAACTAGCGGGGGGAGGGGAGGGAAAGGGGGGGGGCGCAGTCCCCGAAGCCCAACCGCGCTTTTTCCATTGAACGCAATACGAAGCCAATGAAACCTAGTGACATTGGTTGGGCTGCCCCCCTCCCCCAGCTAGCTACGGGCCTGATTATGCCTTAATGATTGTTGCTAAATCCTTTTAATTTTGATACAGATTAAACTGGGTTATTTTATTAGTCATGGTATTATTTTGAGAGAATATTTGGTTGTGTATGTAAATAGATGATAACTGTACCAATGGATAGTATTATTTGTTGCCTGTAGTACTATAGGACTTCTTCTTGTTGTGTTTACTTTCTGGTGATCTTTAATAAGACTACAGCATAAAATAGTTTCACAACTTCATTTCTAAGTTGTACTGGCTTTGCAGGTTCCTCGTTCTCAATGATAATGGCTGGTAGGAATTTCTGGGTGAGCTCTAATCCAGCTCGCCTCTACACCCTAATTTATACCCGCTAATTTCTGCAGGTCTTCGATAACCTTGACGTTAATTTCCACGCCATATAAGGAATAAAACTCTTTATTTCCCACAAATAAGATAGGAAACATTACCTATTTTTGGTCTATCAACCATAGGTCAATAAACAGCCAGAATTTGATGACTATTTTGACAATAGTTTGATCCAGATCCTACGCAGATGTACCAGCCTGTCCAGCTTTTCTACTTATTTAAGGGAGTGTTGCCGTACCCCTCCTCGTTTTCTATTTTGACAATGATTATAATTTGACCAAAATATCACTGTTTTTTACGAATAACTATACCCACGTTCATTAAGTACGTGTGATTTGACTTTATAGACAAAACTGAAGAGACAATTTTATAAAGACCCAAAATTGTCTCAAGGGCCAAAGTGTTACATGCCGTTTCCTTTTTAAGTATAAAATCAGCGATATTCTATGAAAGATATTAATGTAAAAATATTAATGATATGAACCAAGCTGATTAAAATACAGATCTATATTTCGTGTCGTTTTCTTATACCAGTGATTCTCAACCAGTGTGACGCGAAATTTTGAACGGCACACTAAGAAAATGTGAAAAAACATGTGATCCCAATTGAGTATTCATTGGTGTCTACTGATAAGTTCATAGCTATGTTTTTCTTTATTTAGTTTGAGTCATTCTATGTTTCTATGACTAGTCTCTGTCTACGGTTGTATGCCGTCTGACTTATCATGTGTTCTGAACTCTAAAAAACCAAAATGAAATAGGATCTGTGTTTTAATCAGATTGGATATAGTGAAGTCTAGAAGGTTAAAAACAATTTATGCCAAGAAACTTCATATAAAGATGTTCATTCTAAATGAATTACTCTTTATTACATACATGGCATGCTTAATGTTTTAGGACCATCTGATAACACTTCTTGTTTATTTGGGAATCTATCTTACTAAAATTCTTTTGTATTACTTTTGTGTTGCAAACTTTTTTTGATTGATGTATAAAATATGCTTTTAATTAATAAGATTTATTAATAGATATTTATGAATTAAGACAATTTTTGTTATGATTTTGTCACATCATGTAATAAGTCAAATACTCAGTGCAATGCAATATATAAACAATATATCAACCCTTGGCACAACTGTTTTTAAATAAAATATTAAAATAATCTTTTATTCTTTATTATAATGCAGTGAAACTCATTTAACTTGAGTCGCTTTGAATGAATGTGACAAAAATGTGGTTGTATATTGTCGTCTGCCCCGTCCATCCCTCCATCGGTTTGTGGATGCTCTAGAGGCTAATGTTATCATTCAATTGACTTTAAATTTATACTATATATTTAACGTCATGAGACCAGAAAACGATTTCTGCAAGAGTTATAGTCCTTAACCTCTATGAACGTTCTTGTTGACACTCTACAGACCAAAGTTATCATCTGATTGACTTTAAATTTATCCATACAATGAACCCTATTGATTTTTTAACAATTTCCAAAAGTACTGCCAGAGATGACAAAATCTATTGATTTCCGATAGCTAAATTCATGATATGAAATGTTTTGTATACTAAAAGTTAGCATGTGGTAGAAATAGAAGTCACACAAATTCTAATTACTTAATCCGATTTTAGAGTGTTGTAAATGTTTTATTACCGACAATCGGTAGAATTATCTGCTGTGGGTGTATGTTTCGTTGCCTGGCAATCGCTTTTATTTCTATCACCAAATATTGGTGCTTCCATAATATTACCTAGAATTTTCGACCATTTTCCTTATCGTTATCTTACAGTTGTAATTGAGTCTCTCTGTCTGTCTGTAATACAGAATTAATGAATATTTTGGTCAGATCTCAAATGTCAAAGTTAAAACCCACCACTGCACAAAAGGTCCAGTCCTTGCCATTGTGTGATAAAGGGGGAATAACCTGAATGAAAGTATGAATAATAGAGGCTATATATGGTCTGAATCTAGTGCTCCATAATCATTTTGTTAAAAATCATATGTAGATCTTGAATGTTCCAACTACCAGTATTTAGTTATGGGAGCATCACGAACATCATTTAGATAAATCTGATATGTATGTTCAAGACATGGGACGTCAGCATGTCGACTTGAGACAAGAGGTACCTTTAGTAACTAAAGCATGGCTGTAACCCGCAGGCTGATTGACTGAACTTAATGAAAGGTAGTTGAAGTATCAGCCTTAAACTCCTTTCATTATACGTTGTAAGATGCCTATATGTCCCCACCTATTACTACTAGAGGGGGTTGGGTGCTCAATGGTTAAACATGTTAGACCACAAGATGTTATTGAGTCAAGTTGGGTCGCCTGTCCAACCTCATGGGTTTTCTCCGGGTCCTCCAGTTTCCTCCCACTGCTAAAGATCCCTATGCGCAAATGAATTATTGAAATAAAATGGAACCATGTTAGTCCCGAAATGACCTAGTTTGTGTCTAGTGGACCTTAAACTCCATTTAGTTACAGATGTGCAAAGCCCTAACCATGCTATTTAATTAAAAAACAAACAAACCCAAACTGCAAAACACTTTGCTCCTTTTTTTGTTGGATGGCCGAATGATAAGCGCGTGTAGCCTAGTTGTATCATAAGATCTGTCATTGAGTCAACTGGCGTGGTTTTGATTCCCCAGTTGTATGTGACAAGGAATAGGGTCGTCTGTCCATCCTTGTGGGTTTTCTCCGGGTTCTCCAGTTTCCTCCCACTGCTAAAGACCCCTACATGCAACCGAATTATTGAAATAAAATTAAACCATATGTCTGTCCCGAAATGACCTAGTTTGTATCGAATGGACGTTAAACCCCATTTCTCTCTCTCTCTCTCTCTCTCTCTCTCTCTCTCTCAATTGCACGCACAGGTGTCCCAATTAGCCAATCAGAAATATTATTTTACACATCACTTCTAATATTGTCAGTAAAAATGTCTATATAGGTTGTGGTCAAACTTAGATCAAATGTTTGCTGTTCAAATGGTTTATTTAATTACCAGTCCACAGGTTGTTGTTGTTGTTTGTTAGTTGTATTTTACGTCCGCTTTCACCGAGGTGATATCGCAGTCCACAGGACAAATCGTGAGCTTAAATACCACTAAGACGTATTAGAAATCATATTTCGTTTCGTGTTCACATTCATAAATTTGTAAGGGTGGTGGTATTTGGAGTGTTTTGATTGGCTAAGGATGGGTCACAATTAGGTCATCCCAAGGCTCGAGACTGCTGCGTGCAGTCCATGCTTCATTGTTTTAACGGGATTGTTAATGAAATGCATGAATTGTTATCAAATCTGATGAAAGGATTGGATTAAGAGCAAAGTAAAGGTAGTGGTCATGGCGACTCCGACATCCGGAGCGGCGCTCTCGGCGGAAGAGAAGAAGGAATTCGATGAATATGACAGGTCAGTGCCGGATTGAGTTCAGACTTCTTGAACTAGTTCAACGAGGAAAGAAGACCATTTATTTCGTTTCATTTTATTCCACATAAACAGACAACATTCTCTCATTTTATTAAGCAAGTTTTATCAACCTTTATATTGCTATTATTTTTTATATATTTTCAGTTGCTTATATGGCTTCCTAAAGTTTGAAGATTCTGAAGGAAATGGAAAGAAAAGTTTGTTGGAAAAGGTAATTTGATAGGCCAAGGGAACTAACTCCATATTTGAAATTGGAATTAATAGTAGATTGTGTCCTGAATTATCTAGATAACAAACCTTATCTCTCAACCCTCCGTGTTTCGAGATAATAAATGGTGCTATTATCTTCAACGTATCACATGCGGAGCGATTCGCACCCGGCATTTGTAAACAAAATTGACAATATTTTTAATCAAAACAACGATTGATTATTGTTATTTATAATATTTCTGCCACACCCAACTACAATTAAGCATATAATCCTACCTAACCTGAAACGGGTACAAATCCCCTCTTTTTAAATCAAAGCGACAGTAGATTGCTTTTTCCGACATTTTAAATTTACGCCTGTAACACATAAAGACGGGGCCTCGTGTCAATAGCCAATCAAAGTACTAATCTGATCAGAGTTGCGCAGTAGTAATATGCCGTAAATTATGAGCGTCCGAATCAATTTTGATAAAAACAACGCTTGATTTACGTTATTGTCAATATTTGCTGATAAATGAATGTTGTTTCAGTAGATTGGACTGTGTATGTGTAATAAGTACTAATAGTATAAAATTAACTTATTTTTAAGATGGTACATGCATTAATAAAGAAATTGAGTTTGCCACTTGGAACTAGCTATATATTATCTTACCATCCAGATCCTGTACCAACAACTAACTTGAAATGAATTGCAGCAAAACAGTTAGTTGTTGGGGGTGGCTAAGTGGTAGTACCTTTATTAGCAACTGTCTCTGATCAGATGATGTCCGCTGACAGTTCCTATCCCTTCCTTTAGTTATAGCTGCATTGCAATATGTAAATACCGCTCATCTCCACGTCTGTCAGCGGTCATCGTCCGGTCAGAGACATTTCCTAAAGGAACTAGTTAAGTAGGTAAGATGCAGGCTAGCTTGCCTGGAGGTCGCGTGTAGATATAATAATACCAAAAGGTGAGAAACGGATCGGAATTAAATAATTTTTAAACATCATGGTAGACTCGATTGTCTACCTCGTGAAAATTAGTATTGCCTCTGGTTGATGGAATCTAGAGCAGTGAACTTTGATCCCAATTATTTAATTCCAATTCTTTTCTCACCTGGGTATTATTATATCTACTGAAAGAGAATCAGTTTCAGACGAGTTATTTGCCCGAGTTAGAAATTGGAATCAGACCAGTTATTTGATAATCTCGTTTACGAACATGGACGTAACAGACTTTAGGCATATACTTAGTCATAGTTTAATGTTATTTGTGAAATAATTTCCATGTTACAGACACTTGTGATTTTAATGTATAAAACAACGCTTGTGAAAAATAACCCGAGTTGATGGTTATTTTGAATGTATTGTGCTGTATTAATTACACTTTTTTTCCAATCTTATTAAAACACAGATCCGATTTCGTTTCGTTTTTATAGTTCAAAATTTCGCGTTACTTTTCTATACTACACTAGGATCTGGAAGAGTTGTTATCATTGACGTGTTCTAGTTGATGTGAGGAATTAGCCAATGAAGCGGTCTGTTACAGCAAGTTCTTTGCCTTTTTACGCATGGAACTGTGGGTAAACCACTAGAAAAGTCAACGCTGATTGATTAATCAATGTTTGACGTCATATGGTCAAAAGCCGGTTGTTTGACCCCTGACATGAACTCCTACTATAACTGGTCAGATCGTCATGTAGTGTAGGCCATCGAAAGTAGCCTGACAAGGACAGCTGTCTAGTCCTTCGGATGGGACGAAAAACCGAGGTCCCGTGTACATATTGGCGTGCACGTAAAAGATCCCTTGGCAGTTGGAATTCGATATAAGAGTAGTCCCTAGCGACGCTGCCCGGGCAAAATTTCCCTCATAGCACACTGTATGGCGTATGCCCGTCTTCATTAGCCCAGTTTAGGAGCAGAACAGTAGGACGTTAAACCCCATTTCATTTCATTTCATTTCATTTCATTTCATTTCCATCGAAAGTTTAAAAAAGCGAAACGAAATATGGATCTGTATTTAATGAGATTGAACCTGGTGATAATGATGATAGTTTATTTTTATATTCTAGGGTGTGGCTTATTATGAGAATGTATTAAAAGATCATATTAGGCTGACCTTAAAAATATCTTTGTTTCGCCAAACCCGACCCACAATCGAGGAGAAGGGTCGGTAGGTCGGGTTTTTTTTTCAAATTTTTTTTTAAAGAGCTAATTTGACAGCTTGATAATTTTCTGGGGGGGAAACATTCGTCTTTTTTTATTGTCAAACAAATCAATGAGTATGACATCGGGATTTTTCGTGATGCACGACTCCGAGACTCGCACACGATTTGCCACGAACTCTAAGTGTGAAACCCCTTCAACACGTTTTTAACGATCGTGCAGGTTGTGCCTTCATTTTTCTCGAAATTGGATATTGAAAATATCTTCGTCATGTTTAAAACGACGCCCCACAGACATAGAGGCAGAATCATTTCGTGGGAATGGACGTGCTTTCGTCTGCAACCATTTTGTTGAGAAGCGACACCTATAACGCTTTCGTCTTGATCAACCAGTTTCAATAATGAATCAAAATATAGCCATAGTAAAGGGAAATAACTCTCGTGATAAATTTCAAGGTTGACACATAAAATAAAATAAAAAGATCGCGGAAAAGTGCAATAAAATAATTTAAGTCGGGGGTGGTTTTAGTTAGTCGGTCGCGTTAGGCGAAACAAAGATATTTTTAAGGTCAGCCTTAAGAGTGTTAATGTTTATTTTTATATTCTAGGGTGTGGCTTATTATGAGAATGTATTAAAAGATCATATTAAGAGTGTTAATGTTTATTTTTATATTCTAGGGTGTGGCTTATTATGAGAATGTATTAAAAGATCATATTAAGAGTGTTAATGTTTATTTTTATATTCTAGGGTGTGGCTTATTATGAGAATGTATTAAAGGATCATATTAAGAGTGTTAATGTTTATTTTTATATTCTAGGGTGTGGCTTATTATGAGAATGTATTAAAAGATCATATTAAGAGTGTTAATGTTTATTTTTATATTCTAGGGTGTGGCTTATTATGAGAATGTATTAAAGGATCATATTAAGAGTGTTAATGTTTATTTTTATATTCTAGGGTGTGGCTTATTATGAGAATGTATTAAAAGATCATATTAAGAGTGTTAATGTTTATTTTTATATTCTAGGGTGTGGCTTATTATGAGAATGTATTAAAGGATCATATTAAGAGTGTTAATGTTTATTTTTATATTCTAGGGTGTGGCTTATTATGAGAATGTATTAAAGGATCATATTAAGAGTGTTAATGTTTATTTTTATATTCTAGGGTGTGGCTTATTATGAGAATGTATTAAAAGATCATATTAAGAGTGTTAATGTTTATTTTTATATTCTAGGGTGTGGCTTATTATGAGAATGTATTAAAGGATCATATTAAGAGTGTTAATGTTTATTTTTATATTCTAGGGTGTGGCTTATTATGAGAATGTATTAAAAGATCATATTAAGAGTGTTAATGTTTATTTTTATATTCTAGGGTGTGGCTTATTATGAGAATGTATTAAAAGATCATATTAAGAGTGTTATTGTTTATTTTTATATTCTAGGGTGTGGCTTATTATGAGAATGTATTAAAAGATCATATTAAGAGTGTTAATGTTTATTTTTATATTCTAGGGTGTGGCTTATTATGAGAATGTATTAAAAGATCATATTAAGAGTGTTAATGTTTGTTTTTATATTCTAGGGTGTGGCTTATTATGAGAATGTATTAAAAGATCATATTAAGAGTGTTAATGTTTATTTTTATATTCTAGGGTGTGGCTTATTATGAGAATGTATTAAAAGATCATATTAAGAGTGTTAATGTTTATTTTTATATTCTAGGGTGTGGCTTATTATGAGAATGTATTAAAGGATCATATTAAGAGTGTTAATGTTTATTTTTATATTCTAGGGTGTGGCTTATTATGAGAATGTATTAAAAGATCATATTAAGAGTGTTAATGCTGAGAGTGATCGCGACAATCTACCCTATCTTGATCCTAGTATATATTGTCATTTAGGACATCTAAATCTACTACTAGAACAGTTTCCTAAAGGTAAGAATATCTAAATCTACTACTAGAACAGTTTCCTAAAGGTAAGAATATCTAAATCTACTACTAGAACAGTTTCCTAAAGGTAAGAATATCTAAATCTACTACTAGAACAGTTTCCTAAAGGTAAGAATATCTAAATCTACTACTAGAACAGTTTCCTAAAGGTAAGAATATCTAAATCTGCTAGTAGAACAGTTTCCTAAAGGTAAGAATATCTAAATCTACTACTAGAACAGTTTCCTAAAGGTAAGAACATCTAAATCTACTACTAGAACAGTTTCCTAAAGGTAAGAATATCTAAATCTACTACTAGAACAGTTTCCTAAAGGTAAGAATATCTAAATCTGCGAGTAGAACAGTTTCCTAAAGGTAACAAATTATTATTATTGTGCTGAATGGTTAGCGTGCGCTGTATCATAAGATCTGTCATCGAGTCAATAAATAAAAGGTTTAAACAAATTTCAATAACTTGATGTAATACTCGAACCACACGAGAGCTGTAAATTTGATACAACCAAATTAATTGACGCTGAGAATCATTATACTAGTCGTTTGTCTATCTATGAATATATATAAAATTTGTCGACGTCCTGTGATGTACAGTTACAAGATTTCGTGTTAAATATGAAGAAATACATCGGTGCCATGTCAACTCATTTTAGTTACACCATTTTCAGATTGCATCATGCAACAAATAATTTCTCAAAAGATTGTGTGTATACTTAATTCCCTTCAATAAACATTGTGTTTGTATGATAAAATAAAACCCAGCATTTCCTGACTAACATTGACATGTATTATTATCGTGACATTTGTTGAGACATTTTAATGGGCAATAGTTTTTAATGAGTCACTATCAGTAATTGTCCCCCGCCTTTCGAAGAAAGCAGGGGACTATTAAAAGGGGTTCGTCTGTGTGTCTGTCGGTCCGTTCGTCTGGCCGTCACACTTTTTGGGACACAATAACTCTCTTTCTAATTGAGCTAGAATGTTCAAACTTGGTGTAGGTGTTTATTAGGTCAATACCTTGATGGCGTTCGAAGATGAGCATATTCTGCTTAGAGTAAGCAGAGATAAGCAATTTGATTGGTTGATGCTTTGGGACACGATAACTTTAGTTCTAATTAAGTGAAAGTGATGAAATTTGGTGTATAGTTTCATTACATCAATACCTTGACTAAGTTCGATAATGAGCATTTTCTGCTCAGGGTAAGCAGAGCGATAAACAATTTGATTGGTCGAGAGGTTGGAACACAATAATTCTCATTCAAATTGATATAGAATGTTCAAACTTGGTGTAGGCTTTCATTAGGTGAATGCCATGATGGAGTTCGATGATGAACATTGTATGCTTACGGTAAGCAGAGATAAGCAATCTGATAGTCTGATGCTTTGGGGCACGATAACTTTAGTTATTGTGAAGTGAGAGCGATGAAACTCCGAATATAGTTTCATTATATCATTACCTTGACTAAGTTCGATGGTTCGAATTTCTGCTTAGGCTAAGGAACATAACAATTTGATAAGCAATTTGATTGGTCAAGACTTTGGAACATAAAAACTCTGCTTTTAATTGAGGTAGAATGTTTAAACCTGATGTAGATGTTCATTAGGTGAATGTCTTGACTGATTTCGATGATTAACATTTCGAGCTGAAGCTAAGCAGAGCTAATCAATTTCATTGGTCGATGCTTTGGGACAAGATAATCTTGATTCTATTTGATAGAGAGTGATGAAACTTAGTGTATAGTTTGATTGCTCAATACTTTTGAAAACAATAAATGTGCTGTTAATTAATATGTGTCATCTGTTTATTTTGGGATTTCGGCGGGGGACATCAGCCTCACTGTTGGCCGCATGTTTCACTGTCAACGTCGGTACATATATCTTTATCGGCACTACATTACTACATCATTCTATACATGTATAGATACAGATTTATATTTCTAAATGTTGTTTCTTACTGCTCAGCACATTGATGTAGATTAAATATACTGGATACCATGTATTGTAATACTTTTACAGTAAAATATCGGATTTATCCCAATCTGATTAAAATACAAATGAAAATACGACCAGAGTCCAAAGCTCAATTTCTTATTCAATGGGGATCTTATCCTGTCGATTCAATCTCAATCTGATTAAAATACACATCTATATTTCGTTCCATTTTTTTATACTTTTGATGGCCTTTATCACATGAAAATCTGTCCGGTTGTAGTGGAAAGTCGTGTCAGAGGTCATACAAGCGATTTTTAACCCTATGATGTCAGACACTTGATTAAGCAATCAGCGTTGATGTTTCTAATGGGTTACCGACAGTTCCGTGCACCTCACCCCAAAAACTTGCCGTAACAGACTGTTTCATTGGCTAACCCCCTCACATCATCCAGAATGTGGGTTAAATAACAACTCTTCCAGATCCTAGTGTAGTAAAGTCAAGGAAAATGAAATGTTGGACTATAAAAACGAAACGAAATAGGATCTGTGTTTTAATTAGATTGGGTTTATCCAGACTGAAAATCCATGTACATATATAGGCCTGCATTTATTTTTTTTACTTTTTTTTTTTATTTTAGCTTTGTCAGCCTACCAGAAATTTTATAATCTTCAAACAGAACATTGGAAGGTAAGTAACAAGAAATACGATCAAACAGAAATTAATTTTACGTTATTTTAAAGATAAATTAGTTAAGATTTTCATAAAGAGTTGGCCATTCTTGATATAACAGTTCATAAATAGATGATAAAAAAAAAAATATTGAAAATTTCAGTCAAATTACTTCATTCTGAACGAAATTATCACTGTTAGAAGTTTGGTATAGAAATAGGCATAGGAGGGGACGAAAAACCGAGGTCCCGTACATACATTGGCATGCACGTAAAAGATCCCTTAGCAGATGGAATTCGTTATAAGAGTGTGCCACAGTGCTGTCCGGTTAGAATTTCCCTCATATCACAATGTATGGTGTATGTCTATCCATTAGCCCACCTGGAGCAGAACAGTAGGACGTTAAACCCCATTTCATTTCATTGTATTATTCAATTGGCATTTATATATATAATTTTTTTTCCAGAATGCCCCATTTCTGTATGGCCTAGGCCTTGTTTACTATCATCATAATTCACTGAGTTGGTGAGTAGCTTTTTCTTTCTTCCACATAACTTAGTAATATAGGCGAAAGGCATCTACAGATAATACATGTACATTGTAAACTTCGAAACTCAAAGAGCGATTTAAACCTTCATAAGTGTTTGATGCATATATCGGAAAATCTTTCTTGTTTATGTGGTCAAGGTGTTGAAGACTGCGAACATTATTTCTTACACTGTCCACTATACAACTCTTAGCGAAATATAACAATAAATGAATTAGATATAGAACATAAAAATATACAAACGATACTTTCTGGAAACACAGCTATTCCTTTGGAGGACATTTCCTTAATCGTTGAAATCTAACATGACTTTATCAAACTAACTAAACGCTTTAAAACTGCCTAGATCATTACCAAGATGCAATCTGATTAAAACACAGATCCAATTTCGTTTCGTTTTTATAATTCAAAATTTCGATTTTACTTGTCTTTACTACACTTGGATCTGGAAGCGTTGTTATTTAACTCGTGTTCTGCTTGAAATGAGGGGTCAGCCAATCAAATGGTCTGTCGAATCGAGCTTTTGACCTTTTTTGCGCAGAACTATGGGTAGACATTAGCGGCAATAGAAATCAAAACAAAGCAAAAGTAGATAAAAAAAAATACATGGCGGTCGCTAATTGGTTTATCGAATGACTGCCGTAATTAGATTGTACCAAGATGTTGGGATCACCTTGTATGTATCCACCCAAATTTATAATGATCTTGTACAACTATGTGTTATATTCTCTTGTCACAGACGGTTATAAGTTTGACAGATAACCTCGTCATGGTATTTACAAATGATGACAAAACCATAATATGCCTTTTTAATATGGTGTTTTTGAAAATGTGTCGTTGCCTCTTTGATTTAAGCATAGAAACAACATAAATAAAAATATTTTGCATGTATTATCAAAATTAATTAGTCAGCTTTAAACTAAACACATGTACAAGTTAGATGAATTGGGGTGATTTTAAATGATTTTTACAAGATTTTATATTGAATGAATGTGAAAGAAATTAGTGTTAAAGACACAAGATTAAATGATACCTGGGTTACAGTGTTAGTTGTTTGTATTTATATTCTTATCAAACAAAACTTTCAATACACACTTATTCCTTAAAGATACTCTCTCACAAAAGTATTTTTCGGGTGGTTATTTGCAATAAAAGTATTTATCGGGTGGTTATTTCCAATAAAAGTATGGCAATTTTGGTATATATATATGGCAAGTAGAGACACCCAATCTTACTAGAAAAATACTGGATTCCATCAAAAACACCAACGGAGCACCCATGGGACAAGAATGAGAGGATGTCACTAATTGGCGTTAGGGAGAGCTTGAGGTATATGTTGAGATGACGTGGAAGGAGTGAGAGAATTAAACCTACAACAGTTTCCGAGATAAAAAACATGGAAAAAGACGTGGGCAGGGGATAATCCAAGAATTTACTTAGGCTTTGATATTTATGATGAATGGACAGCGTTTTTTCGATATTTTTAAATAAGTCTGATACATATATGATAAAATCGGCGATGATTTTATCACGATATATACCGAAAAACCGGTTATCGCCCAACCCTAGCCCACATTGAAATGTGGTCGTGTATAGTCGCCGCACCACACCCGTGGGTAGGGCGTCCACAATTAGGCTAAAGTTAATGTCTGATTGACTTTAAAGGAGCTAAGTCGCTAATATTTGGGACCTACAAATGGATCGCAATGCATACAATAATGTAATATGAATGTATATAAATTGATTTACATTCAAACGTTTCTGTTTTTACTGTAATTTTTAATCAGTTAGGTTCGGCGAAATATGCCAGTATTCTCAATCGTATTTCAATCTCTAGCGTCTGGTTATTCCAGTCTAGGCCGATAATATTTTTTGGGCTTGCTCTCCAGATATGAATAAAGCGTCCCCGTTTGACATGACTTGTGGAATATGCCTAGTCTCGTTTTTCGAGTCCCTTATTACAAATAGCGCTGAAACGCGTTATGGTACATGATTCGTGTACCAATTGTAAAATGTTTATTTTGTCTTAAATATTGGATATCAGAAGGCCATCTTTTCCCGGTAAGATTTCAACATCAATGTTGATTTAAACCGACAAATAAATCGTGTTTTCAATTTAGAAGATTTTGGAAGATATTGAGTTAGAGACTAAGCTACTTTAAATTGATACACAGTATTTAAGGTCATGAGACGGAAGAAGTGTATACATTAATTATTATAAAGGACATTACACAAAATTAGTCAATTCTACTTCAGATAACACTTTCAGTTTAATCACGTGAATTATAACAATGTGTTAAGGATCATCAATCTGTTCTTTGTTCATGTAAACAATACTTGTCATGTGACATGAATTATGTAATGCTTCATGACCAATATTTATCAATGTATGACTAGGAAATTATTAATAAATCAGGAAGGATTCAATTTGAGGAAATGATTTTGAATTTTTCCATGTGCATCCTTTTTCTTATTAGTGATGTTTAGAGGAGAAGTCTTAGTATTCATTTTTAAAATTTAATTTAAAGATACATTATTTAATAGCTATGACAGGATTTTATTTTGGTTTCAAATGTTATATAAATTATTAATTACTGTCTATTTTTTTTAATTTAAAGATACACTATGACAGGTTTTTATTTTGGCTTCAAATGTTATATAAATTATTAATTACTGTCTATTTTTTTTAATTTAAAGATACACTATGACAGGTTTTTATTTTGTCTTCAAATGTTATATAGATTATTATTTACTGTCTAAACTGTCGTAAATTTTAAACAAATTTCTTTGATTGTGAACGAACTAATTATTTATGGTTATTATAAACTTACCTGTGTGTTTGAAATCACATCCCGTTAAAATCCAGTGCACAATCAAACATCCCAACAAATAAAAAAGATTATCTCATGAAAATTCAGTGATTTTGCTTGTTAATCAAAACATTGGACAAGTGAAACCTTCGTAATATTTTGAAAGAGGTTGGGAGTCAAAACAATGCACATCCTTTTCAATCGTTTGAATTTGTGCAACAAAAATATCAACGGAAGACAATAACATTGGAGATTAATTCGAAAACAATTGATTGGCAGTCTACTCGTTATTACAATTGTATGGATATACGTGTATTGCCCTGTGATTTTCAAAAGTTAATGAGAGAAAGAAATGGGGTTTAACGTCCACTCGACACAAACCAGGTCATTTCGGGACTAACACATAGTTCAATTTTATTTCAATAATTCGCTTGCGCGTAGGGGTCTTTAGCAGTGGGAGGAAACCGGAGGATCCGGAGAAAACCCACGAGGATGGAAAGGCGACCCTACTCCTTGTCACTTATAACCGGTGAATCGAAACCCCGCCAGTTGACTCAATGACAGGCCGTATAATACAGCGTGCACGTGCTAACCATTCGGCCATCCACCCCCCCCCCCCCTTCCAAAGTTAATGGTGTTATGGAGACGCACGATTAAATAATTCTAAACAGTTCTTGCACAACGGAAATATATGAAGATAAATCGAAAGAAATGAAAGTATCTGACGATAAATGAATCGATGGGCGGTATGGTTTGTTGATAATTTTTGGTATTTATCAATGAATGAATTTATAAAATCAAAATACTTCAATGGTATCGGCTATTTATTTTTGCCAAATAAAATATAAAATACATAGGTGTTTATGGATTTATCTTGACGACTGCAGAATGCCGATTTTAAATGAAAGGACCGCTTAAGTTTATCAAGAAATGCTAAAATTGTTAAAATATGAAATTCAAGGCCCGTAAAATAATAGTCATTCTTTTTGTTCTGCAACTGTGTTCAATAGAAAATCATCCCAACCATTTCCCGTACGTGACAAGGAGTAGGGTCGCCTGTCCAACCTCGTGGGTTTTCTCTGGGTCCTCCGATTTCCTCCCACTGCTAAAGACCCTTACGTGCAAGCGAATTATTGAAATAAAATTAAACCATATGTTAGTCCTGAAATGACCTAGTCTGTGTCGAGTGGCTGTTAAACCCATTTCTCTCTCTCTCTCTCCGAACCATTTCCCTAATCATATTTAAAACATGAAGGGAACTAAATAACCGACCACATGCTTAAACGTCCAAACGCTATTATTGGGTTTGAGAGTAATATCTTATACACAAAATTTGAATTGTTGTAAAAGAGCCACACACTGTTATGATAGACACGCTTTGCTGCCACCCCCCTTGTATGAAATGATCTATCCTGATAAGTTATATAATTAGCTTCCATTTTGATATTTCTGGTTGTCAAAGTTTGTAAGAAGTTCAATTTTACAAGAGAGAAGTTTTTTTTATTCTTTGTGATGTTTAATGTTCAAGACACTACTCATTGTTCACCAAACCGCTTAACCAGCTGGCAGATAACACTCGGATTGCCAGTTAGTGCTTGCCCCATGAGTGTTTTTCGGGTAATCCAGTATTTTTCTATTAAGATTGGGTGTCTATACTTTACATATTTACCATACTTTTATTGGAAATAACCACCCGATAAGTACTTTCAGGACAATGTATCTTTAAATGCAATCATAAAGTGGCATATCATTTTATTTTAACTGATTAATATAAACTGATTGATTGAAAAAAAAAAAAAAAAAATTTTTTCTGTTAGATTGAAATATGAATGTAGAAGACAGAAATTTGATTATTTATAGGATTAGAGGTGTCAGGTTGGTCTATAATTGTGTTGATACAATAGATAACACATGTGATCAATAACTAACCTATATCTACAACCAATCAAATTACTACGTTCCTAAAACACGGCTAATCATATTTATAAGACTTGTACTATATAAATAAGTGATATAATTAGGTCAAGGCATAGAATTAGGTCATAATAAATTATAACAATGATTTGAGTATTATAAATTATCTGGTACAAATATTGATTGATATAAATAGGTGGGACCAACATGACCTGACTGGTCAACTCGACAGGATTTAAGGACAAGATATCGTG